TAGTATCATTTAGCCAAAATTTAGTATAGGGTTAGAGGTTTATTCAAATACCTAACTCTAAATATGAGTAACAGTGACGAACACCACGGATGACTCATGTAGTGGATTGCAACGGTGAGCTATGAAACAGTGGCAAAATGAGACGCATGTACTGTATGTGTGTGGGTCAGATGTTTTGTTAATCCTCAGAGGATAAAACAGCTTTACTCTGGAGGAATGAGTCTGGTGTTGCTCTGGCCAGAGAGAGATCAGAGAGCCGGTTTACCTCCTTTACCTTGCACTATAATGGTCCCTCTCATAGGCCAACGCTAACATAATTTGTCTCACTATGCCATATTTATCTACATCCGTATTAGTAATCATGACAATACTTACCTCACAAGAGTCATGTCTTACGCAGAATACATATGAGCATGATAACAGCATCCGTTTGTTGTGTTTCTCTTTATGACTAATCTGCATCGCTCGGTGAGAAATGCCTTGAAGGGACAGTTCTCCCAAAAATAAAAATTGTCATAATTTACTCACTCTCAAGTTTCAAACCTGTATGACTTTCTGCCGTTCATAAAACACAAAAGGAGATGCTGAACTGTCTTTCCCCTTATAAGTGGGTTTGGAACAAGATTGTGAGTTTGAGAAAAACTGAATTTATATTTTTGGGTGAAATATACTCGAATACCTCACTCACACACACACACACACACACACACACACACACACACGTTTTCTTTAGATTACATGATAATGTTCTAAAAAACTTGAAGACTCAATACCAATTTGTTTGTCAAATTCTGTCAGTTTATAACTGTTTCCTTTAAGACACAAGCTGCCTTCTTCAAAGGGCCATTATTAATCTTAGGGGCCGTTCACATAGAACACATCTTTGCATCTAGAAATGCGAGACGCAGCACTCAGGAATGGTAAAAAAAAAAGAAGCAGAGTAGAATGCTTCCTCTGCCTTGTTGCCATCAAATAAAACAGTTGACATGCCAACTTGCCACTGTAAACAAAAGCTTGCAATGCTTGCCCTGCCTCTGGGGTCTTCTGATTGGTCCACTGTATTGGAACTGACCTTGATGAGTGGCGCTGCGTGTAAAAGTTTAAATTCTTTTAATTTGACATGGTATCTTAAAAACACGGCGGTTATGTGCGAGATGCTACAAAAGATGCGAGACACGTCTGCAACGGTCATACACATCCGTCTAGCACGTTTACATAGACAAAATAATGGAAAAGTAGTGCATTGGAATGGAAAAATGTGTTCTGTGTGAATGACCCCTTCATTCACATTCGCATTCACAACAACAAAATGTATTTTGTCTTTTGTGAATTTATTGAATTATTAAAAGTAGGCTACACTGGAAATTTGAGAGGCTGAACAAGTTATTGCATTTTGATAGAAGAAAAAGTTTTTTTTAATAATAAAACTCGGTACGTGCATTACAAAAGTAAAAATTCTATTTTCACTCTAACGTTAACGAGTCTCATTTATTGCCAAATGATGAATGTGTTAAATGCATAAAATGTAACTGTTAAAACATGATAACTTTGGCAGTTTGAAGGGTGTCAATCAGACTCAGAGACAGACTTTGTTGAAGTCTCTTCAGAGGAAGTTTTCAGCCGCAGGTCAGGATGAGTATCAGATGAGGGGTGGCAAAAACAGAGACTGATTTTGTAAACAAGCATTACGTGTCAGCTTCAGAGTGGAAAAGCGAGGCGTAATTCTCTTCAGATGGGATTTATGTGCAGCAATGTACTCACATATGGTTCCAAAATGTAGGCCCAGGATTTATGAAGAGGCCAAATGGCACGTTAATGTGCCGCAGATGTCCTGGGGAGGGTGCAGTCAGCAGTGCTGCATGAGTTTAATGAAAACTAATCGCTTTGATGGGTCTAATCAGGATTACCCTCTGATCAATACCACCTTTAGCCGGTTCCTGGCCAACATGGGTTAGATTACAGCCACTTTTCAGCCCTCGTTTCTGCAGCTGGAATCAACAGCTTTAAAAACAGAAAGGATGCAGGATTTCCGGTATAGTCGCCCAAGTCTGCTTGCTCAACCTTGATAGAGCAAAGAGGGGATAATGTGTTTAATTAAATACTAAGGCGATCTATTCCCTCAGTGCTGGAGTTTAAGCTAACACAGGCCATCAGTGAACATATACTGTACGCAACACAAAAGTTTTTAGGTGAGAAGCTAGCCTTCTGTATTCATTGATCTACTGTACTTATAAGTTTAACTTTATTTGTTGCATGCTCAACAGGTGTGGCTGTGATTTATACATTTATTTATTTATTTCAATAGAAATAAGCAGTCCTGGATTGTGGAAAGTGCTATGTTAATACAGACTAACTTACATAGACATAACATCAATCATACTGGAGAATCAGAACAACCTGTTCTATAAACACTTAAAAATAGTCCACCCAAATTTTCCTCTCTACCATCGTTGATTCTCATGTCTCAATATTTGAACTGAATGAGATTTGACACAGAAAAAATGTCATACTGATTGGGAATGACATGTGGGTGGGTAAATATTTTTTGGTGAATCCTTGCAGGGTCTGAACCCACAACCTTTCAGTAACTGTCAACCTTTCAATCTGCCAGTGGAAAGCCCTTGGAGTATCACGATGTTCGTGCTTATTAGAGTTATCGTGACATTAGCTTAGAAACATGCTAACATCAGAAACATGGGAATCATAGATATTAATGGGTAGTTACCACCAGTGTTGGGGAAAGTTACTTTTAAAAGTAATGCATTACAATATTGCGTTACTCCATAAAAAAAGTAACTAATTACGTTACTTAGTTACTTTTTATGGAAAGTAATGCGTTACGTTACTTTTGCGTTACTTTTTAAATCTGGACAGGCCTTGCTTGTTTGTTTTTAAAATAAAAAGTTATATTTTTGGCAAATATAAAAGCCTTTTCACACCAAAGGTGAAATGAATAAGCCTCAGGCTGAAGGGAAAGTAAATTTACGTCCGTACAGTAGAATGCAGAAGAAGAAATTTCAACATACTTCAGCAATAAAAAAAGACACACAAATGTTTGTCTAGAGTAATTTTTGCTTATTAGTACGGTTGAACTGGATCATTGAAGGTCAGAAGCAAAGACATTGGTTAATAGAATGGGATTCAATTCATAAAGGATATTTGTGTTGTTTAACAATTAATTATTGCAGGTTTGCGTCATATTCTGAGCTGCATTATTTTTATTCATTTTGAGGAATACTGAATCTGTTTTTTTTGTTAGTGAGATTAATGCATATTCATATTTATTTTAGAACTTTAAGTGGGAGAACTTGCACAATTGGTGGCTGACTAAATACTTTTTTGCCCCACTGTACATCTTCTGATTTCTCTCAACATGGGGACAAGGGAGCTGTCAATCAATAAATTGGAAAAAAAGTAACTTGCGTTACTTATTTGAAAAAGTAACTCAGATATTCTCTTGTAAATTAAAAAGGAATGTGTTACTTTACTAGTTACTTGAAAAAAGTAATCTGATTACGTAGCTCGAATTACTTGTAATGCGTTACTCCCAACACTGGTTACCACATTAGAAACTGTTGCTGATTATGGCAATACATCTACATGTTTGTCATGTTAACACAAAGCAGTGATTTGACAGATGTTGACCTTTCCAACTGTTTTTCTCAGAAATACTGCATATTATACAGTAGATACTAGGGCAGGGTTTTGACACAAATTTCACGATTCGATTCTCATTCACAAGCTTGCGATTCGATTTGATTCAATATCGATTATTTTGGATATATATCAGGTAAAAGTACATGCCAAATTTTCTCAAGGAAAAAAAATCTTTCAACTAATGCTGTAAAATATACATGAGAGTCAGTTGGTACTACATTACTATAATATTGAAGGTTAAAATTGACTGATTTGTTAAAATTACACCGAATTAAGTTTTTTAAATAATAAAGTTACAATTACATAATAATATTTCTACTTCAATTCGTTTTTTTTTAATATAAACATAAGGGTGGCTGTCATAAAAACTTGATGGATTTATTCAAACATAAATTAAACATTGAAGAACAGTAAAATTTATAATGAATATGTTATTTGGCGCATACATTTAGCAAAATGCCCCTCTCTACAGTTTATTTTTCTATCTGACTAATGAGTTTATGGTCACCGAATATGTTTTTCTGAGGTAAATTTGACGTTACGTGACGCTGTTTATAAGCAGTTATATTGATGTCTTCGCGCGGCTGAAACACTGATTGAGCGATTACGTGAGACAGGATACGGATTGTAAAGTTGTACTCTTTCTTTTAACTTACCTTTGGATGTTTAGTCATGTTTATTTTGTGCTGAAACTGGTATTAATGTGGATGAGATGATTAGTTCATGTGCGTCTGTTGAACTGAGGCACTACAGAGATCTGTCACTCCACATTAAACAGAGCCAAAACCCACCCCTAGTAGATAATGTCAAAAGAAATGATTTGGTAGTGGCAGAAATAAATTATGCCTGTCTCACATTCCTGTGACTTGTTTTTTTTGTAGTAAACTCCGAATACTGTTTTCAACTAAATTAATTTGTCATGAAAAATGTTGTGAAGATTAGCACCCAGACAGTCGATTTATTATGAAATGACGTGCTTCCACCCATTGACCATTCCAAGATGGTGATGCCGTTGATGTAGACAGGGCAGATATATGTATACGTCATCTATGTATTAGTACTGTATATCTATGGTTAGTATCAACTGTGTATGAGTACTAGTTGAGTCTCTTTGCATAATTTGTGTTAAGTGCATGAACGAAAAGTTGCTGTCTATGAATGGAGCTTCTTATTTAGACAGTAGTTCAATAGGGTTTACAACAAGGCTAATGATGAACAGCCTGTCTAACAGGTCACCCATCTGGTGGGTCACATTATACAAATGCAGTATAGCAGGTGGGTTGTGCGACCTGAATTGCAACCTAGAATGCCAAAAATACATTCTGTCTGAACTCCACACCAACCTTCTCTTGGGCCAGCTCTTTTTCAGCCTTGTGGGTTCTTTCCAGGTCCTGCTGCACCTGATCCATCTCGGCCCGCAGCCGGTCCAGAGCTGCTTGCTGGTCCTGAGCGGCCCGCTGTTGCTCCTCCTCCCGCAGCACACCCAACTCCATCAGCTTCTGTTTCCTCTGACTGTGGGCTGCCAACAGATCCTTCCTCAGAGAATGCACCTGGGCCTCCAAATCAGAGATAGTCTGGTGAGAAACACAAACAACGGAACATGTAAATCCGTTAAGGTGAACCCATCGATGGAACAGATGATGTGTTTATGGAATACCGAATCTGGGTATTGAATGCAAAGTGAAAAAAAGACGGAAGAGTCTGGATTGAGAGAAAGAGGATAAGAGAAACAAGCCAAGCAGGACGAGTGGAGCATTTGTGCCAGGAAGAGGAAAACAGACACCACAGCCTCTGATGAAAATCACAAGAGTTCAACATCAAAGCTTTGCATTCCACAAAGGTCAGCAGTTTGATTTAATGAGCAAAATTAGTGCAAATCAAAGGTAGGTTACCCATGGGGATGAAGTACCGCTGCCATTTCTCATTTCAGGAAGATGAAAAACCTCATAGAGACCACTTACCAATGAGCTTTTGCTTTAACGTGAAAGCGAGTAGATGGATTACACACAAAAAAAAAGAAATCAGAAGCATTACCGCAGGAATCAGCCCTTCATAGACAATCCGTGTATCATTCGTTTTTTGATTTAATATTGAAAGTAGAAAAATGAGAAAACGGCTCCTTTTTCGTTTTTTTGTTTTTTTCCAAAAAACGAAAAACGAGAATTCAGCTTACATTTTCGTTTTTCGTTCATGGGTGGAAAAATTAATAAACAGCTTGAATATTCGATTTCTACATGTGGGCGGGAATAAAACGTCCCTTTCTGCTGATTGGTCAGCCGAAGATCAAACCGTGCCATCATCAGTTCTTCTGCAGTATCACGCAGCAGAATAATAGTCCTCCACTGCTGCGGATTAATAACCCATTTTATCAATTTCATATTTTTCTCATCAAACAGACTAATGAATAGCTCGACACAACTCGTATCGGGGCAGAGTCTAGACAGGTCTTTCTTCTGTGTAGACCAGTGGTTCTTAAAGTGATAGGGGGTCCGAGAAATAATTTGCTATAGCCTAAAGTATTTCCAGACTGTAAAGTCGCTTTTTTTATCATGATACATAGGCCTATTGTGATTTATTCCAAAGTGACTTATGATGCATTTAACGTCAAATAATCTAAATTAAGCCTTTTAAAAGACAAGTATTCGCTGTGGTTGATGTTTGTGGCATGCGCCAGAAAGATGCTCAAGGAGACCGAGATGCACTAAAGCAGCGCATTCTGTTGTTCTCTTTATTTTTCAAAGGCATGACATTTTGTAGTTATTTTGAACGTAACGTTACACAATTAAAAATATAAATTTGACAGTTGTTGCGTGAACATAGGCCTGTGTATACCCAAGCCAATTTAATATCCTTTCCTTTTTGTCTTAGTGTTTAAAATATTTATTTTGAAACAAATTAATTTCTTTCTTAATTTCTTAATTAAACAAACAAACAAACTTACTGGGTGAGCAGGATAGGCTATGACAGCTGTCATATCATACCCTGCCATGCCCAGCTGATGCAATGAATAGAATTTATATCTACACAGAAAAAAGCCCTGTCTAGACTCTGCCCCAGTATGAGTTGTGTTGAGCTATTCATAAGCCAGTTTGTTTGACAAAAAAAGATTAAATGTAGTTGCAATAAATGCGTTAAGAATCCATACAACTGCAGCAGTGGAGGACTATTATTCTGCTGCGTGATACTGCAGAAGAACTGATGATGGCACGGGTTGATCTTCGGCTGACCAATCAGCAGAAAGGGGCGTTTAATTCCCGCCCACATGTATAAATCGAATATTCAAGCTGTTTATTCATTTTTCCACCCATTAATTCTCCTGTATCGAATCATATCGAAATCGTATCGTAGAATTTTTTGAAGTGTCGGCTAATATCGTATCGCTGGGTATGAGAATCAATATCGTATCGTATTGTGACAAACCATCCGATTTACACCCCTATAATTGGATATATTTCGGTCACACTTTATTTTATGTTGCAATTCTCACTATTAGCTAACTATTAACTTTGACTTTTGTCTCAATTATTAATTGAGTAAGGTAGTTGTTAAGATTAGTTATGTGGTAGCATTAAGGGATCTAAAATATGGTCATGCAGAATAAAGTATCAATATGTGCTTTATAAGTACTAATAAACAGCAAATATGCTAGTAATATGCATGCTTGTTAATAGTGAAAATCGGTTCTTAAAATAAAGTGCTACCTATATTTCCAAATAATTCTGAATAATATAGGTAAACAATTCTGCAGAAAATAATGATTCAACTGTATCCACTGGGATTTGATGATGTTGTGAAAAGTGGGCTGTGATTTTATTGGTTAACACTGTTTTTTCCCCTCCCCCGTTACATTGGTTACGTGAACAGAAAAGTCGTTATGTTGATGAAAGATTATAAAAACCAACATTTCTCTCTTAATAACGAGAACTGAAAAATATGGTGTTTGTTAGCAATTAACGGCACTATTGAAGCTACCAGTTATATACACACCATCACACCCTGTCCATAATAATGATATCAAATAATCTGACCTCCCAAAGTGTTTAACCACCGCGCAGACGGTGGCGTGTGGTAGAGTCTGGAATGTTGGGAGTCCCTCGTCTACTCCTCGCGCTCCCAAACATCCCTGGGAGGAGACTGCTAAGTGCATCACGTGGCACGTCTGTCGGAAAAGCATCTGAAGTTGTTTTGCGGCCACTTGGGGAATAGCAGCAAACTTCAAAGCCGTGTTGCACAAATACCCAGATGCCAAGACAGCGTGCGGGTCCAATACGGCCAGAGAGGCGCAGCACCAGCCCACATGCTGCTGCAACCGCACAAAGCTATTAGATCTCGGCTCGGAGGAGCCTTTAATCTATAATTCCTTCTTAAACTGGACTCTGGGAAGAATTTTCTGATGCATCTTTGATGGGCTTGGACGTGCTTGTATGAAAAGAAGCTGAGAAACTAGCACAGAAAATAAAAGGCAATAACCACTGAGAATGTTGCATCATGTATGATGTAACTTCAACAGCTTAACAAAAGCATTTAATAAAAACTAAGTGAGAGAGACAGGAATGTAGGACAGACTGAATTATTCTGTTGTGTATGCACTATGCACATATTCATTATTAACCAAGAGAAACAAAATACAACAATGAAAATATGCATGCACTGGCCAAAACACACAAAAACTGTGCTTGCGTGGCTTGCAGTGAACTCCTCAGCAAATAGGCCCAAACAGATCTAAATCGTTGTAAGGGGTTAAACAAATTCATCTACAGCACTTCCTTACTGTGGTACAGTACTTCTTGTCAGTGTTGCTCCAGTTCACTCTTAAAAATAAAGCTTCTTTATTGGCATCTATGGTTCCATGAAGAACATCTATGGAATCTTTCCATTCCAAAAAAGGTACTTTATAGTGGAAAAGGGTTCTTTTGATTTAAAAAATATTCTTCACACTAAACAAAAAAGTGTTTAAAAAAAAAAAAAAAACATTTGTCAGTGAGCTATCCCGTGAGTTTTGCTCGAAACAGGACGGGCACGGATAAAACCGAGTATGTCGGTCCCTGCTCTCTTATGGTGATTTCTGAGGTATTATATGTGTGGCATGCTCCTTAATTTGCATTTTCAAGGACCACAGCACCATTCTGGATGAAAGACGGATGGTGTGATCCAAATCTTCAGCTGAAATGCATTTGCATGTCTTTAAGAGTTCAACGTGAAGCCTAGTGAAAAGCGTCTGTGCGTGCTCTGCTTCAGTGATGTCTGGCCAGAGATTAAAACTCTTTTCATCATCGAGGGCCCATCTGGTGGTGAGAGCCAGTCTGCTGGAGCCCATCTTCCATGACCCATCACAGCTGGATGGACGGACTCATGATGGTGCTGTTTTGTGTTTTCCAGAGTTGAAAAGAGCAGCTGAAATCAAGACAATGTTATTAGATGACTGCTTAAAAACAGCCATGGTTTGGCAAACAGTCCTATGTGTCAACCATATGCCCTGAAATGTGGGGGGAAAAAATCCGAATGATGACTTTTGGATATCTAGTTGAACAAGCTTCCACTCTCGTATTAGAGAGATAATTGAAACAATCATGAAATGTACATTACCAGTCACAAGTCTGGACAACCCCTTCTTCCAAATTTCAGAATAAAAGTAAAGTCTTCAAAACTATGAAATAACACAAATGGGAGTATGGGAATTACAAAACAAAACCACATCTTTCAAAAATGTGCTCCATTTGAGCTTCTCCAAAGCAGCCACCCTTTGCCTAGATTACAGCTCTGAGATTACTTGGGCGGAATGACAACCCGAAAAGGCTGAATCCAAACCCCCTGCTGGTGCAAGAGACAACGTGACTCCCATCAACAAGCCTGTTGTTTTTGGCACATCAGAAAGCAGGCCTGATCTCCTATGCCATGTCCGCCTTCATTTTCTGTGTTCTAATCTCTTACTGGGGAATCAAGTTCTTTGAAAGTTTGACAGCATCATTAATTTGCCGATCAGAGCGGTATGATGCTATACTCCACGGATTTCAGATGTTCTCCCATGCTGTTTGAACTCCATGTTACATTACTGAAAAAAACATGGAATTTGTCAAGAATGAAATCGCAAGGAAACGTAATAGTGGATTTGAATGGCAGAATTAAGCTTCTGTTGTTCATACAGTGTGTCTAAATTAAATTAAATGACTTTTGTAAGTGTCTGAGACATTAACATCTCTCTGGAGATCAAATCAAATGAAATATGCAACAATAAAAAAAAAAAAATCTATAGACAGATATTACATACATATTGATTATATATGCATGTGTGTTTCGGTTTCACTTTAAATAAATTTGTCTAGCTTGTCATTTATAATAAATGTTGTTTACAATGAATGTCATATAGTTTGTTTGTTTTATATTTATATTTTTCATTCTTGTTTGGTTCTGAATACAATTCAATTTACAGAACTTTTTGTGGAATCAGGGGGAAAATAAAAGACATGTTTTTTAGTATTTATGTTTTATTTACAGGTATTTTAGTAATAATTTTAGTAATAGTAATAAATAAATACAGTAGTACAAAATGTCTACATCATGCCATATTTCAATGAATATTTTGACAAAAAAATAAAACATAAATATTTAATAATGCCTTAAATTACTCAAAATATGTACAATAAAGGGTCCTACTTTATATTAGGTGTCTCTAAACACTATGTACTTAATAATAAAATACTGAATTGTTAGGTACAGTGTATCTATTGTGTTCATGTTGAATTGCAAAACCCTTTTGCTGCTATTGAGGTGGGATATGGGTTATGTTAGGGACAGGTTTGGTGGTATAGTTAGGTTTAAGGGGCAGATGTAGGGTCAACAGTGTAATTATAGATGTGACTACAGAAATGAATTACAGATCATTCCTTGTTAAAATAGAACGAATTACTTCTCAACTCTCAGCTTATGAATAACATTAGCAGCAACATAAACATTCCAGCAGTAGCAACACTCAGACCAACAGTACAGCAAGCTGGCGACCTCCAGTGATAAAATCGCTCAGTGTGAGCAATGTGCAGGCTGATGAAAGTGAAAATAAATGAAAGTGTAGATTCTGACCACTGTTTTTTTTCATATAATAAAGATAGTTATGAAGAGCACAAGCACCCGCCTGTTGTAAACGTGTGGTCTCTAGAGTCTGCTGTGTATTGGTTTATTGTGCTGGCTGCAGGCAACTATGTTTACTGAAAACCATCCTGATGTTCTGGTCTTTTTATCCTCAAACAGACTAAAGAAAACAGGAACCCGGAGGGCGGCAGAGTCCAAGGAAACTAATACACAGACTCCAGTCCAGAGACGAGGGGATTTGAACTCCCTCATCATCTTGCTTCAGATCGATGCAGCCCTCCACCGCCACACTAAATCTAACGGACCACTGAATGGAAGCTGAATTTAGATTTGACTGGGATGTGTAGACAAACTTGAAATCTCCAATGATGGAGTGTGAGTTCCTGCAACTAACAGGAAAACACACGCTGACACTGTGTAACGTGGGTTACAGAATGGGGCATGACAAACCAATGGTACTGAGCGAAAACAAGTCACCGCGACCTGGAACAAAAGCTCCCTGTGCTGTGAGAAATGCATAAGTCATTTGCTCATCTCGCACGCTCATGATGTGAGCCTGACCACATCAAGACATGAGTCTGAATTGCTCATCTTCATTGTGTGTGAAGAATGTCCATTCACACTGCCAGATTTCCGCAGCATGTCCTCTGATGGATTACCGTCACTGGATCATCCTATACTGTCTGCTGGTGTACACATTTTAATTTAGTTTATTTAGGGCAGACTATCTTTTTGTTGACCAACAACATATGGGGCAAGAGGTCATAGAACCTTTTTTCTTTATTAAAAATTGTAAAAATATTTTTTTCTTTTTTCCCCCCCCCCACAGGTGTTTTACTTGTACTTTGAATCACGCTCTGCACTGTGTTATGGTTCATGGTTAAAGGAAATGTTGCTAAACTTAACAGATACTGTCCTGGGAGAAAATTACCTTTACTTTTTAGGGCAGACTATTACTTTTTGGTTATTCTACATTCTGACGTAGAACATGCTTGTGCTGCGCACACATGTGTCGTGGTACTCTCGTGAATCGCAGTGGACACACCCGGAAGAGAAGAAATTGTTGAATAAAGGCGATATTTTTGTTTTCTTTGCACACGAAAAGTATTCTCGTAGCTTCATAACATTACGGTTGAATCACTACCTTTCTTAATCTTAAATTTTGTTCCGAAGATGAACGAAGCTTTGATGAACGGGTTTGGAACGACATGAGAGTGAGTAATTAATGACAGAATTTTCATTTTTGGGTGAACTAACCCATTAATGGTCAATGCCATATCTAGAGCTCAGGATGGCTGATAACAAATTAAATGACATTTGATTAACTGAAATGTATTTAATGCAGCAGTTCTACACATGCTTGTGACTTGCTGATCTTCTTTACTCCTGCCATTCAATTTCTGTGATCAGCAATAAATACAGGTAAAACATGTTCTGATCTGATCACTCAAACCACATTCAGAGGTAGTCAGAAATGCATGTACTATTTTTGCATTTTTGTGACCATATTGCCTGAGACACTTCTAATAAATTTTCAAACAAATACAGCCATACATAGAACACAATACTCTTCACACTCTGGAAAGTATCACAGCAACTGTTAAGGTCCATTCACAACAAGTATGATATCTTCAGCTATAAGATATTCTAATTCTATGAGAACAGGAAAGTCCACACCACAACTACAACAATAACACCACAGAGGAATGATATTTCTCAAATCACATTCAGATGATTTTTTTTTTTTTTTTTACAGGTGCTGAACAACAAAGACATTGACAGCCAATCAGAATCAGACTTTAAAGAGCTCAAGAATGTAAAGCAGCAGACGACATAACAGCAGCATGTGCTTACAATAAACAGAACATTATTGCAAGTTGGTGTAGACGCTAATATAGTTATAGTTACCATATAAATATTGTTATATTTACTGTTCTTGGGCTTAAGGTCTTCAGGCGTGAAAATTACAAATATCTATTTAAATCTCCCAGCATGTCACAGTCATTCAACATGGTCACTGCCTATTGACACTGTGACTGGACATCTTCCAATCAATCTACAATGTTCACAGAGAACAAAATCATCCATTACGCTTTGGAAACTCTTCCCGGGATGATGCTCCAAACTTCGCCTTTGTAGATTGTTTTGGGTTAGTGATGTTCCCCAGTTTCCTTGACAGTTGTGAAACGGAGGTCATGATTTGTTTCATATGTTTTTCAAGCCCATAATGTCAACAAGCAATGACAACATTAGTGGCATGGACATGGACTGTGAACAACATCACCATGTCTGTTTCAGTGTTAATCTGCAATGACAGGGCTCAGTGTTTGGAGCGGCTCAGTTCACAGTAAACACTTCCCAGGTGCTCTGAGTTTGGATCACTTACAAAGCACACCAACTCCACTTTATTTTTTGAGAACAGAAATTTATAGCTTCCAGTTTTTTCCTACGGGTGTATCGTCACGCTATGCTGCATGACAGTGAAGAAATTAAGACAACTGTACAGAATTTTTGCACTTCAAAATAAAACTCACTCAATATAATAATTTGCATTCAGCTCTTGTTTTGGGCTTTTGGTCATAACACTCATTTTCAGATAGCTTTTTGTCAAGCTTTCTGTAGCTGTTATGACACCATGTAAAAGCTGACACATTCTATCAGAGTCTGCGCTTATTAGTAACATTGTTGAGCTGATTACAACAACTGAACTGAAGTGTGCCGCATCCTATAGGAAGTCTACCGGTCCAAACACTTGATACACTATCAATTTCTATACTTGGGCCAATAAAGGTTCAGGTAAAAAACAAACAAACAAAAAATGTTCGAGTGCTTTATAAATAGCATTAGCTTTCATCAGCTCTTTACCTGTCGATATTCTTGAAAATATGTCCTGGGATCTCCATACTCTATGAGTAGAGTTTCACTCTTAGTGAGTTGGAGGGGGTTATTTGGAATGGAGATTTTTTGGGCCGTAGGAGGGTTTGATATACTCTTGGCCAAAACTGCATCAATGAATTACAGAAGAAAAACAGATCAGCCAAACCACAAACTTCTTTCTTTAAGTGGCAACTAACTACGCTGTACATAAGGGGTGTTGAAACATGAATACTCAACAACACTGGGTTTTGTTTGATGACACTTATGTGGTCATGAGTTTACATGGTGATACACATGGATTTATTGACAGCTTCCGTTTGACGTTTTTACTACTAGTATTTACTACTAGTATGTTTAAATATGACAATTTTTGTTTAACCATTGATAATCACTTTTGAAAGTCTGATAATTGATAGCAAACCATTAATAGCACTACAGTAAAACAAGCAGAAGCCAATAATACATTTGCTGACTGAGAAAAAAAACTTTCACTCAAAACAAAAAAACACACACACACAAAATATAGATCACTTCATAAGTACACTAATATTATCAACAGATGTTACCCTACATTTTCACTAATATATCAATCCTCGTAGAGCGATGTGTCCTATGCGGCATCAACATCTCTGAACTTGTTTCTCTTGCTAGCAGCCAATAAATATGGTTTAGCCATGCTGACAATTTACATTTAATCTTGGGATTTGACGAGTCCAGTGAATTCACAGTTGGGGGCTAGGCTTTCAAACGGCTTCCCACAGGGATCTTACGATAGCCAGGCTGGAGAGGGAAGCGGCAGACGGGGCAATTGGCACAACAGGCACCAGAAACCCACTGATGAGCAAAATGGAGGTTTTATGGCTAAAGAGCTCATTAATACCCTCTAAATGACATATGCCTGTTGCAGTATATTAGAGAATAGCTCTTATTAGTAGATAAACGCTTCCTACACCGCAGCGATAAAACCAGAACTCAGTAGTGGTGCACAGATACTACTAACCCCAATATAAACATCCCAAGACAAGAAGAATGCACCCTACAGTTTACAATGAAAGGCCACAGCGGCAATGGGTAGGGAAATTTACCTTTTTCATCCAGCAGCTTGTGGTTTCAGCACTTTTTTAAAATACATTTTCAATGAAATCCGACAGTGAAAAGTTGCACATTAAAATAATGCCCCAAAAGATTGCATTTTAGCAATAATTAAATCCTTGTTTTTTTTTCTGTGCCATACACTAAAACATGACAACAATGTTGCGAAAAAGTATGCAAAGCACAATTTGTTTTTAAGTAACTCGAAAGCGGTATGCTACGTAATAGCATAAAAATATATGTAATATGTAAAATTATACAGTGTAAAATAGCCATACATTTTAACATTATCCAAATTAGCAAAAAAAAAATAGTGACAGAAAGCGTCGGAAAGGAAAAGACCCCCTACCTGAGCATCGCGCTTCCTCCATTCCTGGGTTTGCATTTGCTGCTGGATCATGGCGGCCCTCGCCTGCTTGTCCAAACTATCGATTTCCCGCTGGTGGTCCTGGACCAGGCTGTCCTTCTCAGCATTGTGTGTCTGGAGTAGGTGCGTCCGCTCCTGTTCATGCTGCAGTTTCAGTTCCACAATCTGATTGGACAACAAGGAGTAAGACTTCATCAGCGGAACATCCCTGTCGTCATGACAACTTGTGCATGGCTCAGCGAAGAAAAAAGTTCACGTTTGCCTCACAACATAAGAAGCCTACGCAAGTTTTTGCATCACTATGATCTCACATGTTGTTGTTCTCTCACTTTTGTGCTAATTATGACAAGCTAGCCTCTTTTTCAGCTCTCTTTAGGTAAAAAAAAAAACATGATGTCAAGGCCAGTGGCACAGTACTGGGCAAAAAAAAAAAATGTCTTATGGCCACTGTTGTAATCATACGCTGTATTAAAGATGAGGAAGGAATAAACACATTATCCATTTGCATCCTATTTATTCCTACAGACTGCTCGAAAACAAAAAGAAAGACAGAAAGAATGAAAGAAAGAAAGAAAGAAAAACACTTTGCGCATTCATTAATTTCATTTGAAATTTCTAGTCCGTCCATACAGCATACTGTCATGGTGGATGTACTTCAACTTTAATAACCACTTACTTCTGAATCCTTTTCCGAAGGGTTGCGCTTTGACAAAAATGGAAAATTAAGAGCATAAAAAACTAATCACAATCCGCCCGGCATCCCTGCTATCTTCTTTTTTCAGAAAAAAAATAGTCAGCATTGAAAGCAAGATGGAAAATGTTGAAAGAACACAAAAGCTAGCATCTGCATTATCTCACTGACTTGCACCTGCTGTGCGGTGAGCCGAGCCTGGCGATGAGAGGCAAAGCCAACGGTTCCCAAGGTCTGTTCCCACTCTCCTCCGAACGGGAGACGGTGACCTTGGCCGGTCCGGCCCCCATCTCCCAGCTAGCATGCAGCGAGAGGCCTGGTCCCTGCAGTTTTCAAGCTAATCCCCCCACATTGTGCGGCTCGGCACCCTACCTGGCCTGCCAGCTAGAGGCTGCTGTGGTGCTATTGAGTGTAGGTGATGAATGGGATTTCAGCTCGATTCCCCCAGCCAATCAGGCACAAGGCCACAAAATACGCTTCAAACAGCCCCATGGCATCCAATTTTAGTGGATTTTGAAGAAGCTGAAGTAAGATTTGGTAAGAAGATTCCTCATCTTCCAGCTTTATCGATTTTGCCCATCGACACTGTAGAGGAAGAGATATAGCAGACGTGGATGCAAGCAGACATCTCTAATAGGGCAAAACTGAACAGCCAACAGAAAGAGCCTCAACTAATTGATCAGGGACCGCCGAAGGACGCAACCCTCCAGTTTTAAAGGAATAGGACAGATTTCTTCATTACACGCCATGCATTGATATGCTAACCTCGGGTAAACGAGCTGATTCTGAGATCTCTGTTGGTAGGTACACTGTAATACAACCGTTTATTTTTGCAATATATACACATCATGACAGATTAATAGACCATAATCAGTTTGATTACCTTAGTTTAAAGTCAAGCAAATAGCTCGCCGTGATGGGTTAAACCCGTCCCACAGCACTTGTCAGACAAGCGACAAAGCAAGGCATTGGTTTAGACAATTCTGAGTTAATTTTTTTCGACGCAGGGTGAAAATCCACACCAAATATATGGCGATATGACAGTGGGAAAGCGAAGGGTGGGGGAGAGATTGAAAACATTGAAACGTCACAGAAAGGGCTGCTGGGTGCCTTGCTCTTAAAGCGCCAGTGCTGAATGGCTGCTGTCACTGGGCAGATGTGATTAGCGCCCCCTCCTAGAGCACCAGCGCCGAGGTCATGGGGCGGTGGGCGACTGAAGGAGGCTCCCCAGGGAAACAGTGCAGTATCGGAGAGGAGGGAAGCTTGGCGGCACTCAGTAGGGGTTCTGTTTGAAGGAAGAAGAGTGGCGGAAAATATATTCTATTATTCAGAGTACACATACTCCAAAAAGGATAGTTCCGTCTATTTGATTGTGTGCAGAAAAATTTAAAATGAGAAAGAACAAGAGATTGTGAGATGGACAGTTTGATTGATGTTGATTGATAGGATAGATTGCCATCCCCAAATGTAGCCTCCACAGTTGTGAGTGGGATGATGTTAATGTCATATATTGTGTAACTTCCTACTCGTTGTGACCTCAGACATCAGCTCAGCATCGGCACTCCAAGCCGGCATGACGTCAAATGGTGAGGAGGTCAAAGAGAAACAACACTTCTATAGAAATGGACTCTTTTAAAGTCCCATTGACGGGAATCCTGGGGAATGCTTCTTTGTGTCCACATGAATGGCTAAAGTGACCTTCAGACCACAGTACACTCATTAAACCAGCAATAAACATCTCAACTCAGTAACTTGAGGGGGTCAGTCAACTAGAGCTTCATGAACTTTAAAAACCTTTACAAAGTTGCTCTCAGAAGAACAGATGCTTCACAGTGATTCCTAAATGCTTGACATATCAGTAAAATGTATTACTGTAATATTGTGATGTTACAATATCGTGTAGTCATAAACTCAAGAATATCATAAACATGTCCATTTCAGGCGACAGTTAACCCGGAAAATAATATGAAGCATAGTTTAAAACAATACGATTATTTGCACATTTTTAAGACATGTAAAGGTATTTTCTTTAAGCAAATATACTTCTTTGATTTTGGGGTGAAATATGACTTGGATATTTCTGTCAGATTCACCCATTAAATCTATTATTATTGACACTACTGTCAGGTCTAGTTTTCGATTTCTCTAGGTGAGTGAGTACAGTTTGAACTTCAGTTTAGACACTCAACATATTTGAGGGCTTGTAACGGTATCTGCCACAGTTTCATTAAAATTGCTTTTATTTTCTCTAGCGATACTATCAAATCAATTGTAATTGGTATGACACAAAGTCTAGAGGACCAATGGGTAGTGAGTTAAGAAGAGGGGAGAGACAAAAAAAAGCTTTTTTCTCTACTACAAATCTTGCCATTATTATTTGTTTTTTTTATGAAATTTGGCGTATATAGTTTTATGTGGATACATGTCACATTACAGAAGTAAAATTGATTTCAGACTGGGTTCCACATTGAATACCAATCTAAAGTCACCTGTTTTATGAACACAGGAGGCTGCAGGACTGCAAAGTGTTTAACAGAGATTCCATAATACTGTTTCAACAAGCTGCCACTGTTAAGACTTCACTGTTCAATTTGATTAGCTAGAATAGAATCTCATGATAACACCACAGGCTTTTGACCAGGCCTTACAAATGAGTGACTTGGAGTCAAAGCAAGACTGGATTCTGCAGGCAGATATAATCTTTTACAAAACAATGGAAAAAAATATAATTTGGCTGTCCGTTTAGATTTTAGGCTTTAATTCAGCTTCTTATTGTATGTCACATCACACTGTTGTCATTCACCCACTGCTGAGCACACTAACCAAACCGAAAAATGATTTTTTTTTGTCTCGGTTTTAAATAACCCGAGAAAGAGCAAGGAGCACCCACAATGTATTATGTGGGCGAGTTCAAAAGTAACAAGCTGCCACAAGAAAGAGATAGATATTCTTCAGCTGTGGAACATCAAGTTAGAAATATTAGGTGAGCATTTACTGTCAAAGTGGTATCAGTGAGATGCTTACAAACAATCCCTCTGACCTGGTATGATGGAGTTTTTTTTTTTATAAAACATTATAAAACCTGCAAATTCTATAAAACATTAAACACTGTAAGAAATTGTCATAGTAACAACTGTTTTTTGTGACCAAAACTATGGTTACCAGATATTATCACCTCGCAAGAGGTATAGTTATCAGTTTCTCACAAAGAAATGAAAGCATATAACAAATACAGCATATGGGTGTGTGATATGACATAAATATCATATCACGAATATTATATCATTCAAGATTGATCGACCACAGTACAAAATCATCAGATCGCCCACTCCTAATACTCATAGCTCATGGTTTTCTGAGTGTGGGTCCCATACACAAACAAAACGTCTTATTTGGATCAAGGGCTGAGAAGGTTTAAGAACCTCTGCTTTAGTATACTGAAACAAAACTAAGCAACATCAAAAACATGTCCTGAGGTTGCCCGAGCAGTTTAAGGACATCGCTACCAAGTAATCACTAAGTGAACAGTTTTTTCACTACACCTCCCAATTTTGTCTTTAAAACCATTTTGCTGCAGCTGCAACAAAATGTTCTCAGTAATGCTTTGCATGCTAACTCTCAAATTTGTTGAGCATTGTGACTGCTAAAATGTATGCAATTCCTGGCCCCAACTGTACATCCAAACTAAACATCACTCTTCCACCGTCTTTCTATCTCTGTTGTCTAATTATGTAATATATACTGCTAAATAGCAATGTGATAAGACTGTGAGATGAACAATATTTCAATATTTGCCATTTTTATCTTTAAAAAAAAAGATAACAGACACATTCCTGTCAGTAAAATTTTTACAAAGCCAGCATCTTATCAGTTAACAAGACTTTGATTAAATGATGAACATTTTACATTTTTAATCAGGAGGAAGTGGAGACTGAATGGAATATGATAAGGGATCTTAGCATGTGAAAATTAATTTATTTTTGATTCTGCGACAGCCCATTCAGTCATCTAGAGAGAGTGGATAATGTCATTTGAATATGAACTGTGTCGCTCAATGTAATAATGCTCGAGCCTGAGCAAATGGTTTGTTCGTCTACATTTCTACCAAAAGAAAATCATTAGTCACACTTAATGTAATGTCAATGGATTTGAAGAAAATGTTCACCTGCTGCACATATCTTCGCTGCAGCTCCTCCAGCTGGTAACTGAACTCTTTAGACTGTTTCTCTCGGAGAGATTTAGAGTGAATCAGATCAGCCTCTACTTTCTCCATCTGAAAGCAGAAAACACAATCAATTACAGTTGAAATAAGCATTATATAATACTATACTACATTAGTATAATTTTATTATGAACTGCAATCTTCTTCACTGTACGAGAAGGTACTTGACTCACAATAGTTGCATCCCAAATGAAGCACTATGCACTTGTACTTATGCACTATATGAATTATATGTATGAAATATATGAGGTTATTGTGTTGTGCATAATCAGAGGCTGATAGCTCCTCCCCCTCCGCTACATAACTAAAGCTGCGACAGTTAAGTGCAAAAAGTGTCCAACATTCCACACTTAGTTTCTTCAGTTATTTAAGTGAATTATCCTTAAAGTGCACTCTCCTGCAGATACATGGCATCATGGATTCTATCAAACAGCAACAGATAAAAAATCAAAACCTGACTATCCCTGCTAGAAATCGTATAATGGACCACTGGATCTTCCAACAGGACAATGATCCAAAAACAAACCTAAAAATTAGTCACTGAGCACAAAACTCCTTCCCTGACCTGACCTGAAACCTATAGAAAATGAGTGGGGTGAACTGAAGAGAATCACCACATGGAGCTGGGAATCTGAAGGGTATGAAGGGATGGTCTCTGACCTGCTGTCAGGTTTTCTCCAAACTCATGAGGCATTATAGGAAAAAACTCAGAAGCTTATCTTGGCAAAAGGAGGTAGCAAAAAGTATTGAATAAAAGGGTATGATTAATTGTGGTCAATGTGTTTTAGAGAAAAACATTTATTTCATAATGAGATTCCCCCCCATTTTAAATTCTTATTCTCCAATGAAAGGTTAGATTTTTGTAAATGTATTAAATAAATGATCAAAAGTATTAACAATGCAGATTTATTCCCACAGCCTTCTTTGATCATATTTACCAAGGGTATGAACAATTTTGAGCACAGCTGTATATGGTTATGAGTAAAAACATATACCGGCACAGATATACCATCCCGTCATAATTGAAAGATCTTCACCATATTTTTACAGTGAATTACTAGCAACCACAGCTGCTGTTTTTGTACCTTAATTGTATATTTTTTACAGTGTGTCTAACTAAGCAGCTCAGTAGGCTTAGGAACCAAGCTAGTATGCAGTATGCAGTAAGCACTACACTAGTATTCCATTCTGAACACCGCCTTTGAAAGCCAGGGCACAGGATCAGAATAATGGATTCAAACTCTTAGAAGATACTCTACATTTAGCATGTGTAAGTCAAGGCCATGTCTGATTATCCAGAGGACGTTCCTTTCTATGATGCTGTTACAAACAGACGAATGCAAATGGACAGCAAAAAAGAGAAAGAGAGGGGGTGGCAGGAAAAGAGTGTGGAACACTTTGATGTGGGCTGAATCTTGGACAGATGATGATCGCTGGAGACACAGGGTGGAAAGAGAAAGGTGAATCAGAAAGAACACGAGCAGGATGTGGGCAGCAGTTCTGAGTCCAGCGAGAGCTTTAGCATCCCCTAACGCTCGCCCACAACTACATGACCATTAGTACGCACACACACACACACACACACACACACACATGCAGTCTGCCCAATTTAACGCTCCAGAATAATTCTGCCCACACTGTGCCAACATGACTTAATGCAAGCCTGTTTAAAGCTTATTACTGATTACTGACCGTGCACAAGAACACAGAATATAACTGTGAAATAATGCTGTGCTCCATCCAATGCTGGATGTGGGGTATTACAAACCTAAGCTACATTCCTGCACAACCTATACAATGTACCTATACATGTTATTCACTGCAGTTTCCACCTGAAATGCACACTAGTGGGAGTAAGACACCAACAACTTTCATTCCTTTTCACACAAATTATGATTACAGATTAATAAAGATTCGTTTTGTGCGGTTTCTAGCACAATACTGTGCTATGACCTCAAAACACTTTTACCATAGTGCATAATTTTTGTGAACTAATGCATTTTGACATCTGCATCACATAACCAGCTCCATATGTATGGCTTTTCTGACATAGTAAACTTGCTTGATAGCGCACCTGGTACACATTGCACTTGGGTACGATTCCCATGAAACATGAGTCATGAAAAAGGAGTTCAAAGACTTGTAGAAGCAAGCTAAAATGGCATTGCTGCTTCAGCAAATGCGTTTTATCTTATGTTTGCTTTTGTTAACACTATAGATTAGGTTTAGTGTACGTGGTACATTATTTTCAAACGTGACAGAGCATTACCCTTTTAGTGCCACTTACTGGACATTTCATTCCTGAACTACAGCGATAAATACAGTACAAATTAGGGCTACACGATAAATCGAAATGGAATCGAAATCGCAATTCGATAGAAGCTGCGATTGTCATGCGTATCTTTCAGTGAAGCACGGTTCTGTGATCAGCAGTAAATCTCCATCCGAAGGCCAGAAGGCGCTCTCGCGCTGAAACTCCAAACACGCCTTGCAGAAGAAACCCAGGAAATGCCTATAGCGGTAGCTGGATAAACAGAAGATTTATCTGCTTTCATTGATTCAACGTGACTAATAAACACACGATTATGACAATATATGGTTTATCTGAATTATCATCATTATAATTTTCATTAAAATAAAGTATATTTAAAATGCAATGCCTTTATCACTCCTTAGAATACTATGAAATATGTTGCGTGCCTTATTCTGTGTAAGAAGCCACATCATCTCACAGAAGGATTTATTTCAAACACTCGACTGACGTTATGAAGTGAGTTGAGAGTAAAAATATGGCATTAAATGTGGTATTTTCACATGCTTTCAGATGGAGCAACATTTACTTCACACAGCCCTAGTTCACTGAGAAGCTATGCAAACAGCTGTCATTATCGCAAACGATTTCATAATCGCGCAATAAAATCGTCTGCGATTTTTTTGCGTAACTTGTCAGTGAACTACGGCTCTGTGTAGTAAATTCTGCTCCATCTGAAAGCACGTGATGATGATTTACTGCTGATTACAGAACCAGCTTTACAAAAAAAATGCGCATGACAATCGCATTTGATTAATCGAGCAGCCCTAGTACAAACAACGTAATAAACATTGCTAGATTCACAATAATCTGTTTCGGATAAAACTGAACTTGGTTTTAGTATTTCCAGTGACCCTGGGTTGATTCCTACTTATATATCTCTGATCTCCACCATCAAGGCATTGTGTTGATTTCACTATCAACAAAACCCTGCTGTCAATCAGACACTACACAATGTAGTGGATGAACAATATTATGCAATTCATCTAATGACAGATGTCTGATGAACAATAGAGAGTATTCCAACCAGACCAATACAGCGACACTGACTGATCTGATGGCATGAGTTTGCTAACCATTTAAATTGGTGATGCTAGTAGCACAGAAAATATACACTTTAGCTTTCTGTTTGAGCATTTAGCACGCATAGTGTGAATACTCAGTCTGTTTTTCTTGTGTTCATTGGCTCTCCTCAAGCTAGCGTTCAGTGGAATGACATGAGAAGAGTTTCTCTTATGTTTTTCTGCATTGGTTTCATAAGAGTACTGATGTGTGACAGGACTGTGAGTCTTTTTAAAGCAAAGCAGATGGATAAAGCCTCCATTTCATAAGTGCTAAGAACGTCTGTGGTGTGTTTTAGGATGGAACTTTTACATGTTGCAATTAGCATAGCGGTACCAGGACATATTCACAACAGGACTAGCCGCTAAATCATCATCGTACATAAATAATCATCTCATTTGGAGCAATAATATAAAGCGGATTTGATGTTATCCCTCAGGGCTGTGTTTTTCAAAAGCATCTTAAATCAAAACAGACTGCAAAAACCATTAGCATCAATGGCCATTACGATCTAAGATTGGAAAACGCAGCCCATGATTTCATAGGATCATTGATTATGATTATTATTCATTTTTATTGGTTTCTTTATAAAAACGTGCAGTCATAATATTTATTAAGAAAGTAAACCAAATCAAATTTGATTGGATCATTTAGTTTTGAATGACGATTTGAAGGATGAATTTTGTTATTTGATGGCTATATAAACCTAAATAAGAAGCTTTTAACAGCTAGGTAACAATAGTGTGAATGTTTGGTTCTGCACACATTGGACGCAGCTGTGGCAGTGAACCCGGGTGGCGCCGCAGCGGCCCGCTCCAGCATCTGTGCACAGGATGTGATGTGTGGTTGCAGTTATGTGCATTGTGTTGATGGGGCAGACTGAACGGTGCTGTTTGGGAGGCTGGAATTGTTACGATGGAAATAGTGAATGTGCAAAGAGTCATACAGAATACATGTTAGGATGAGTAACTATTCCAGATGACTAACAATGAGATCTGTTTGCTCATCCAATACCAAGTCTCAGAGAAACAGATTCAAACAGTGTAAAAGCTTTTTAAGACAGTTGAGGAGGCTAATGAAGATAACGCAATCTCTCTTTATGTGAGAGAGGTCAGGGAATGAGATGGGAGATCAACGCACCTTGGGAGCCAGATGGAACCTGCATTGCCCGCATGAGCACCACAGCGCCGCCATGTATTGGAGCACATGTGCTAACTATTAGGTCATACTGGAAGCTTTTTAATGACATGAATTATTGTCTGAGAGATGCTCACTGCCCATATGATATCCTGTGAGACTGAACGAAGGGATTTGATTTACGATCCAGTCTGCAGTACTGATCGCTTGCTGTCTGGACTCTCTGGAACAATCCATAGATCAAATACACCCTGAACTCAATTATACAGTGATATCAGTGAAAGAACGTCTCACATTTTCAGCCTAAAGTGCGGCTGCCACATTGCAGTTCATTCTGGTCAAGAATGAACATTTAGACAGAAAGAGATGACTGAATTGTGAACCATCCAAACACAGTTAGATTTCATAAGTAGAAGACTCTTACTATTACTAGTTTTTACTGCATTCCTCATAATGACAAAAGGATCCATGTGTGGCTTTGTTGCAGCAAAACACTAAAAATAATACTTGCTAGAACATAATATTTTAACACAATAATTCAAATCTATATTCTTTTGCAAAAAAAATAAATAAATAATAATAATTAGTTAACATCAGGTAATAAACAACAGAAATGTATCAAGGTGCTTAAATACTCCCTATCCATCTTGTTTGGTTACAACTAAATGTCTCAATTAAAACTCGAAACCGAAACTGAAGCTTCATTCAGCTGAAAACCAAAAATAAAGTTTATGTAATAATCAATTAATTTATTAAATTTATTTAATAATCAACACTCAAATTAAAACTGTGCTGTATATAAACACTTATATTGCACACTAGGCCATGTTTTATATAACATTTTTAAAGGGGTCATATGATGTTGCTAAAAAGCACATTATTTGGTGTATTTGGTGTAATGAAATGTGTTTATGCGGTTTAAGGTTCAAAAAACACATTATTTTCCACATACTGTACATTATTGTTTCTCCTCTATGCCCCGCCTTTCTGAAACGTGTCGATTTTTACAAAGCTCATCGGTCTGAAAAGCAAGGTGTGCTGTGATTGGCCAGCTATCCCGTGCGTTATGATTGGCCGAATACCTCAAGTGTGTGACGGAAATTTTACGCCCCTACCATATTGTGATGATGCCCTGTCATGAAACATGAAAACCCATTATAAATGAGGCATTCGTTGCATCCAGTGGGGACATAATTATGGATTGTAATGACTTATACTGTCTTTTTACGCGTTGTGTTGCATCGCGCCACGTAAACATAAAACCATGTCTGCATTTGTGATCGGAGAAATTACAAACAACAAGTCCTACTCTACACTGCCCAAAAAACTCGCTTTAAATATAAAAAATATAAAATATAAAAACTCTTTAAATATAAAAAAACTTACTTACAATCTGTGAGTCAGAACAGCCGGCATTGTAGTCTACTCTCCCAGGATCAGTAAACAGTCCTCCATAAAATGTGCTGCACACATCTGAATATTTGGGTTGAAGTGTTCTGGAACAGTGTAGTAAATACAAATTAACCACTGATTTCTAGTCGTGTCCATTTTTGGAAAACCAAACAAAGTAGTTTCGCTTTCACAACGAAACACAGTGTCACAGACGGCCGCCTAGAGTGAGCAGAGGCCGGGGGCTAGAGTGAGGAACGGCCGGGGAGCTAGAGTGAGCAGAGGCGGGTGGGCTTGAGAACGGCGCGACCGGCGGATTCGATGAAGGAGGCTTGCGGCAACCACATGTGATGTAGGTATGTGGGGGCGTGTTAGAACGAGCCGTTTTAGGTAGGTTTGGCTGACTCTTAAATTTTATAAAGAATTTCTCTTTGGATTTGAGGCTTTAGTCTTTGCAACTTTACAGATCTTCTTTATGCACCAAGAGCTGGTAACACTCCAAAGAGAAAGGAAAAATTGAAATCGCATCATATGACCCCTTTAATTAACCAATAACCAATATGTAAACATTTTAACAGTGGCTGTAATAAAAGTTGCTTTCATGAAAGATGTATTCAAATATACATTGAAAAATGAAGACATCACTAACAAATTAAGTAAAATATAATAAACATGTAATACACTGCATATATGTAGTGAAATGCCTCTATATTTATTTATTCTAGCTAACTAATGAGCAATGGACACTGAATGGCCATGCAACATTAAAAAGTGAATATTTTTGGTTGCTGAAATTCCGGTGATAAATATAAAAAAAATAAATTATGATGTCATTAACTCTTGTCAAATCCAGTGATTATTTCTTCCACATACAGTAAGTGCTCATTCTAGTAACCTGGAAACTTGTAAACATGACTTCTGAAGCTGCATAGTAGCCACCAACACCAGATTTGGATTTCAGTCAGTATGGGTGCCAGTGTGCAGTCTGAGGCTAATGCTATGACTGCTACCGTGAGCTTGACAGAGCGTCACTTTCATAAACCGTGAGACACAGGATAAACTGTAGGTGCCCTTGACTCACCTGTTGCTTCATGTCAGCGTAGGTCATCTCTGAGTTCAGCTCCACCTGCTTCTTAAAGCTCTCCAGTGTGCTCTCAGCCTGCTGGGCCTGATGTCTCTGACTGTCCCGAAGATGAACCAGCTGCTCCTCTTTATCCCTACAACATAAAAAACACACAAATTGGGTCACCCTGTGTATATACATGAGCTTGCATTATTCTTAGGAGTCAGAACACAGAGTCAAAGCTCTTCTCAGCTTTGTTTCGTGTGCTCTAACATAACTGAGATGGAGCATAAAAAGCAGAATGTTGTGCTTTATACTTATTTTTTTTTATCAGCTGATTGGGGAAGCGTTTTATGTTCACAAAGAGAACTTCAGCGCACAACAAATGTGTGTCGACGCAAAACAAACAGCGTCTCAGACTCATGTCTGACAACAACACTGAGACACAACTGCCAAAAGAGCTGTCAGATGCAAGCCAGACTGATACAAAGAGCTTGTCAACCTGCTTTCACTGTCTATATCTGTGCATGTGTGTGTGTGTATGTGTGTGGCACATCTCGCCCTCCCTCAAACGAGTGTAATTACTGTGGTAATTACTTTTCTTTGTAAGAACAATTCATCAGGGCCCGTGAAACTACATATTAGTACTTAATCAAACAAGTTAACCTGCAAATCCCCCCCCCAAAAAACACTGACTGAACAATAATAAAGAGGAAATGTGAATTAAAATATGTGACATGCAATGCTTTGCAACACAAGACATTTAATGCGGGGCATTGTTTTCGCAAAACATTTAGTAAAATCATGATTTACCACAACAACATAAGAAAAACATAACATTTCAATAATAGCATTTGTTTTTACACAGAACATTATAAATATGCATAATATATATATATATATATATATATATATATATATATATATGAATTAAAATATGTGACATGCAATGCTTTGCAACACAAGACATTTAATGCGGGGCATTGTTTTCGCAAAACATTTAGTAAAATCATGATTTACCACAACAACATAAGAAAAACATAACATTTCAATAATAGCATTTGTTTTTACACAGAACATTATAAATATGCATAATATATATATATATATATATATATATATATATATATATATATATATATACACAGTATAAAGCACTTTCTCTAAATTAACCTATTCATCAGTTCAAGAGAAGGACATCCTTCTTTAGTTATCATCTCATTTAGTGTACACACACAAAGCAGGCATAACAATAAGAGGAAATTAAAAACAAAACAAACGCAAAAAGAAATATATATATTTTTTATTTCTATGGCCTCTTTTCTGTGTAATTTTGGTCTCTCTCATGTTTGACATCAAAAGATCTAGAAATTGTTTCTCCCTGACTGTTGTGTAGTCTGTAATTATTAATCTGTCTTGCAACATGAATGCCTTCAGGGCAGAGCACACACAAAAGAGCCTTTTGCTCATCTCTGATGTGGAACAACCAGCAGACAAAAAAACACAGGAAGAACGAAAGAAAAAGAAAAACAGGCGTCTAAACAAGAAAGAAACAAGAAAAAGGCGAAGCCACAAAAATAGCTCTCTCTGAACATTTTGAGACGTTCCAGAGAGAAGAAGAAGCAGCTCATCGCGAGGAAGAGAAGATTAGTTAGTTAGCGAGTTAGAGGTTTAGTTAATTGTTCATTTATCTTTGTCTGTCTTTATGGTGAAGAATACCAACAAGATCCTATTCGTGTTACAATAACCGCAATCACAAATTTGTTTAAACACACTCAACATGAAACCAAAACTGCTCCTTTTCACTTTCATCATATGTGCTCTGGGTTTTATTGTAAAGAATTAATCAGTCAACATTATTCCAAAGAAAACAAAACGTCTTGCTTCGCCTCTGAAACTACTTTATTTTTTGGTTGACGTCATCAAGCCCTCTTATTTTTAACCCCTCCCTTCTAACCACCTGCCAAAGAGACCACTATTCATCATCCAAGCAATTCCTGATGGATAAAAGCATCATATGATGTTGTTGTACATTCTTTCTTTGCAAAATAGACATGGTGTGAGCCACTAACTTTTAACTACCTTGTTTGTTTAAATATCATAAATGGATTGTCATAGAGACTGCAAAATAAAGACAAGGGGATGACGTATGAAGTCTGGCTTCAATCTCTAGTGTCCTCAAGCATTGTTGTGGCATAAAAAGTGACTAGTTCTTCTACGGAATACCTTGTAGACACCGTTATGGTTTATAAACGGGAGCATTCACCATTTTGGTCGCACCGTTTAAGGTTAAGACTGATGCACAGACTGAATTCATAGTAGCTTTATGGTGGGTAAGACATCTACAATGAGGCAAATTACCACCTCATAGATAACAAAACGTTATTGTGATGAGTGGGGGCGGGGCCGAGAGCCATGGGAATGGAGCGAGGCTGGTGGAGTAATTGATAATGAGCGACACGAGTCTTGAGTCTCATGGAGGAACTCCGGAAGGATAAAGGAGGAGTGATGACAGTGTCGGACGAGAGAGGACCAGGCCTGGACTTTATTTTGTGTTTGTTTATTTTATTAAAGTTTGTTTAAATGTCCGCCGGTTCCCGCCTCCTTCTTCCCAACCTACAAACGTGTTACATTGGTGCCGAAACCCGGGAGGAAGGAGGGACACGCTGTTGGAGAGAGCCCTCGCTGCTGAGGGGGATCGCGGTGCTGAGGAGATCGGGCAGACGAGAACGAGCGGAGAGACCGCCGGTGGCTGCCCGAGGGGGTGGTGCTGGAACGATGGAAGAAGAGGTGGGACGGAGAGCTCGCTGCCGCGCTCCTGGGTCGAGGAGGGGTGGTTGCCGTCCGTGAGGGAGTGGAGGAGTCTGCCTGTTCGCCAGGAGGCCGGAGCCTGCTGCCATCCGCCATGATTGGGGAGGAGCAGGGAACGGGTGACTCGCTGCCGGCTGCCCTCAATAGGAGGAACCATCGCCGTCCGCCAGGAGGCGGAGGAGCGGTGGGCCGTCCACCAACGATGTCCAGTACCATCGCATGGCACTGCGAGTGAGAGCCTCTTGGTTGAGGACCAAGCGGCAGTGGGTCCGGGAACCGGACCGATCATTTTTTATTTTCCTCTCTCCCCTCTCTCGTATCTGTCTCTCCTCATCCTTCCATCTCCTTTTCTCTCGCCTCGTCTGTCTGTCCTT